GCTTTTTGCCGAGGCCACGCACGGGCAAGCCATGGAAATCGCACGGCTGTGCAAGGTGCAACCTTGGCCGTGCGAGAAGCCTTAGATCGAACTAAACGACACGCTGCGTTTTGAGTTGCACGGCCAAGTGGGTGATCTGCACGGCCGTGCACCCTGGCCGTGCGAGTCGGGAAATCCTGGTTTTAGAGCCTATTCCGAGCCAAAAGTGGGAGAATCATGTTTTCAGAGCAAAAACAGAGCCCTAGAGAGAGAAAGTGCGAAGAACACATCCTAGAAGCTGTCTTAGAGCTGGATTTCATCGAATCGAGCTTGGAGATCGTCATAGGAGTGGAAATCATCGTCCCGGAGCAGATTTTCCTCATCGTTATGAGTATGACTAATCCGATTCTTGTTTTCTCTTCTCTCTCTATGGAGTAGAACCCTTCTCTCACTTGGGTATGAAGAACCCTAGTTCCTTGTGTTAGGGATTTGATTGTAATGACTTGGGATGATATTACTGTTTGATTTTAATCGAATGACGCATGTTTATTGAATTGATTGGAGTCTGATCAGCTTTTCTCAATTTCTGCTGCAACCTGAGATAGATAGAATCTGATTAGGTTGTTAGAGTCTCTTCATTCGATAGTAGGAGATTGACTATACGAGAGTTAGACAGTTTACTGCTTTGTACTGGAATTCAATTCCAGCATTGGAGTTCTGTGTTCATAGCCTCAGCTTTCTTTCCCGGTGAAGACTAGTCGTCTGCCGGGTAGTTAGACTGAGAGGGCTTGGTCAGCTTAAGAGATTCCAAGCTACTGTCGGATCTTCCGCAGTCTAATCAACAGTAAATCAACCCAGGGAATAACAATTGAACCTAACTAGGGAATTAGGGGGACTCAATCCCGAGTGACTCTTTCCTGACTTTGAAAACCGAACAATTTACTGCTTTCTTGTTGCTTTTACTTTTAACAACAATCACTCGAACTAGTTTGCTAGATAATAGAGAATCACGGAGTAAGCAGTAGATCTAGACCCCGGGTTGATAATTTAACTTGCTTGTTACTGCATTCCCGGACTGCGATTACAATTGGTCGCAGTTTGGTGTTGTGTTTTAGCGTGTCACCGTGTCGGGCCTAAATTTCATGGGCACGGGCATGCCACGGTATATAAGTGGGCCGTGTCGAGTCTAATATTTTCGAGACTTTATTGAGTATAAGAATAGACATGGCATGGAAATAATATTTATTTGATAGAAAATAAATATAAAAAGAATTATAGGTTCAAATATTACAGAACACAAGTAGAAAAATAATTATTTGTTGATGTTAGAAGTGTCATAAAGATATATACGTAATTACTAACATAAGTAAAAATGGACGAAGAATTAAACAAAGCCAAATCACACTCGAAATACTTCCAATTTTCTTTTCCCCCTCATTTGTTACTTTTCTCAAACATTATCGGTTAATACTATCTTCCCCGTCCAATTTTCACATTCTTTTTCATTCTCTCTTTTGTTTTCATCCTTTTCATTAAACACGAATACGAGCATGGCACGAGCACGAATAGGCACGGCACGATTCGAACCATGCCCGGGCTGGGCCTAGCAAAATTGACAAATGGGCTTGCATGGCACGACACGAAAACTGACGGGCCGTGCCAAGCACGACACGAAATAAATGGGCCTGAAGCGTGCTCGTGTCGTGCCGGCCCAAGCACGGCCCAACGCCCATGTACAGTCTGGTTATGCATACTTGCTAACTAGATATGATCCTTTGATTTAAATTTTTAAGTGGGGCCGAATTTAAGGGGTGAGAATTTAATTTTTTTTATTTTTTAATCGGATTTAAATTTTGAACAGATGAATGGGTTAGTTGTGATCTACAAAATGAGATTCATTTTTAAGTGGTGACCATAAATACAATGACCATAACTATTCCCCGATTAAGTGAGGGTGTGGTAGAACCTTCGTGCGGGGGTTATGTCAATTGTTTTCATGACCTAACTAACTACCCCATTCCAAACCAATTACAACTTGAAATGACGTTGCTAACATAGTGGTGACCAATGTTGTATTCCACGGGTTTTGATACCCTAGGTTACTTCTCAAGCCGTTGTTATCTAGCCAATATGTTTAGCTGGGTTTTTAGAGGTCAACTAAAAAAACTGGTGGAGAAAGCAGGTACTTTGGGGTAACTTCATCGCCCTAAACCTAGTTTGTGATGCAAATGGCTAGCTATATTGGGTTTGCAGGATGAGGTGTGGAACTCGCTAAAGTGAGGGTTTCAATGATTACTCGCCTCCTCCTAGTACGCTCCCAGAGATCCATTGTCATCTCGGTCAAAGCTCACATACTAACGAATATTCACTAGTTCCATTAAGTTCAACCTATCTTGCACTCTAAAGTGATGGATCGATGACACTTGCATCGTCTTTAGCATTGTCTCAGGAAAGCATTCATCCATCGGGGGGTTTCGTCGCCTCGTCCACTTAAAAGAACCCTAAGATCATTCATCTACCTCCAATTAGCCTTAAGCCGCTCAAATCTAGCATAATTGATGACTTGATATGTACACATGTTTTTGTCCACCGTTCTTATACCGTTTGAGTCTTATTTCTCGTGTTTTAGGCCGATTTCACGCTAGGTTGTTCTTGTTTGTGATATTTCAGGTCCTAGTACGTGAATGAAGGTTTGGGAACGAGTTCGGGGTCGATTGGACGAAAATTGGACGTTTGGCGAGAGGCTGAGCAAGCCACACGGGCACGCCTAAAAACCCACACGGCCGTGTGACCTGGCCGTGTTGCACCAAATTGCACGGGCAAGCCACACTGGCTGTGTAGGGGACCCTTTGTGGCTGTGTGAAGGCTCGGTAATTTCCACACGGGCAGCCTGGAAATCCACACGGCCGTGTAGCGAACCCGAAGCCACTTAATCGAAACGCCGCGTTTTGCACACTCACACGGGCAGCTGGGAAATTCACACGGCCGTGTGGTTGGGAAAATCTGGGTTTTAACCCAATTTCGAGCCAAAGGAGAGGGAATCGACTTTTTGGAGCAAAAACAGAGCCCTAGAGAGAGAAAGTGCGAAGAACACCCCCTAAGAGTGGTTTTGGAGCTGGGTTTCATCAATCAAGCTTGGAAATCATCCTTGGAGTGAAGATCATCATCCCAGAGCAGATTCTTCCCATTGTTATGAGTATGATTGCTTTGTATTCTATTTCCCTCTCTCTCTCTCTCTCTCTCTCTCTCTCTCTATGGAGTAGAACCTTCTCTCACTTGGGTATGAAGAACCCTAGTTCCATGTGTTAGGGACCTTGATTGTAATGACTTGAGATTGTTATATTGTTTGATTTTAATCGATTGATGCATGATTCATTGAGTCAATTAAAGCCTGATCATCTTTTCTTGATTTTCAGCTGCAACCTGAGATAGATAGAATCTGATTAGGTTGTTAGAGCTTCATCAATCGGTAGTGGTAGATTGGTTATACTAGAGTTAGTCAATCTACTGCTTTGTACTGGAATCCAATTCCAGTAGTGGAGTTCTGCGTTCGTAGCCTCACCTTTCTATCCCGGTGAAGACTAGTCGTCTGCCGGGTAGTTGGACTGAGAGGGCTTGGTCAGCTTAAGAGATTCCAAGCTACTGTCGGATCTTCCGCAGTTTAATCAACAGGAAATCAACCCAGGGTAATTACAATTGAGACCTAACTAATTGAGACCAAACACAATTACATCCATAAAGGAGGGGAAGAAGACTTGAATTGGGGAGAACTCTCTTCCTCCTTAACACCTCCTTTTTCTCATTCTTCTCTTCTTATCGTTCCTTCAGCTTCTCTCTCTAGTTTCTCTGTCTCAAACCAAAAATTTATCGGCCAAGTTCATGAGCGACCTGACAAAGTTCGCGGACGTGATCTAGGAAAGTGAGGTTGCAATCTCGAGTCTTGCCGTTTTACGCTTCGATGGCTAGAAATTTCGCGGTCTGACTTCATGGTCGTGATCCGTGAGTCGCGGCCCGACTTCATGGTCGCGATCTGTGAGTCACGACCGCTATCTTTCTCATGGGATCTGATGCTAAAAGTCGTGAGCCGACTATCAAAACTTTTTGTTTCTTCCTTGTGTGATACTCGAAGAGTTCGTGCCTGAAGCCTCCTTCTTCATGGTCGTAATCTTCACTCTGAAGGCTGCGATCTTGGTATCCAACTTCGGGTCCTCTGTTCCTTGTCGTGATCTTCCATGCCCTCGCCGTGATCCTTAGTTTTTGCACATTTCCTTGCACTTGTGCTCTCTTTTGGTACCTAAAACATTCATATCGTCTAATACACCCTAAAACGCTAATGTTTTCTTCGAGTAACGAATAAGGGGTATAATCGACGACATATTAACCATCAACACTATGAAATAACTCGAAACAAAACTAAATATGAGTTTTAAATAATACAATTTTGGGTGTTTTCAGGACGTTACACATTTTTTTATAAGGGTGATAATGTTCATTTTTATTGTTAGGTTTACACATTTATGTGTTAGATAATATTTATGAGCAACTTCTGTTGTGAAAACTTATGTTGTGAATATACCATATACCTTCCTAAAAAAATCTTATAATTTTCTTTAAAACTTCAGACCGATTGTCAAAGCTTTTATTTCAGAAGAAACAATTCAAAAATTCCTTGCGTTGCACATTTTGGGTAATTGTTTCCATTCAATAACCTCAAACCTTGAAATCTTCTTCAAATACCCAATATTCAAACAAATTTTAAAACGAGAAATGGATTTGTCGAAAGCTCGATGATGTTCGTCATATCACACTATTCTATCCACCCGAGTAAAGAATAACTTTGTAGGGAAATTTATGAATTTGGTTACTATATTTTAAAATATTTATTTTGAAAAAATATATTAATTATTATTTTGTTCTCGACTAAAAGGTGTCAAGTTTTAATAAAAAGATGTGAGAGAAGGGGTTGAAAGAAGAAAAGGAAAGAAATGGGCATCTGTTTAAATTCATACTCATGCTTGTCCGGAAAGGAAACGCAGAGGCAGAGAAAGTGGAAAGAGAAGAGTCCTCCATAGACCAGTCACTGGGCTGGCAGCAAAGAGGTAGAGAGCTACAGCAAGATTATCCGCCATTGTTCCTTCCCTTCTCCCCAAAACGACAACCATTCTCTGCCAACACCGAACCCTTCTCCCCTCTCTCTCCATTCGGCCATCTCTTAAAATAATTTCTCCCCACAATTTCTTCCTCCTCTTGGGAAAGCTCGACCATGGCGGAGTTAGGCGGAGGAGGAGGTGGGCGACAGCAAGTCTGGGTTTCTCCCAATTCGTCGGTGGTGGTGGAGGCTTGGAGAGGGATAGTCAATTGGCTTGGTTTCCTCTTGCAACTATGCATTCAAATCCTCAGAGGAACCCCATCAGTTGCCCAAATGTTGCTCTCTTATGTTGGGTTCGGTCAATCGCTGCTCCCAGCTGCCTCTCCTTCTCGCAACGCTTCTTCTTCTTCTACTCCTCTTCCTCATCGCTCTTTCAAGCGATTGCCCGTCGTCGAAGTTCCCTTGCAGGAGACCGATATGTCTCCGCCGGCTGCCGGCCGAATTTCCGCCCGGGCCGGCCTCGGCGACGGCGACGGTGCTACCATTGGCGATCACCAATTAGAGAAGCTTACAGTAGGTGTTTTCCTTCTTTCTTTGTTTGACTTCGGTAAATCATAAATGGGTTTCTGAATCAGAGCTTCTGTGCCGCGTTTTTTGTTTGGGCAGGTGGTTCTTGACTTGGACGAAACGCTGGTTTCTGCATACGAAAAGTCTAACCTGCCACCAAATCTTCGAACTCGAGCTATAGAAGCTGGACTGAAGTGGTTTGAAATCGAATGTATCTCGGATAAGGTTAGCTAACAAGCCCTTTGTTTCTTTACCCAGCTTTCCTGCAGGATTGAAATATGAAATCAGGATGCGGGTTTGTTTTGGTTGGGAAGGAAATTGAAGGTAGGAAGAAGATCAACTACGTTACAGTGTTTGAGCGCCCCGGTTTGCAAGAGTTCTTGACACGAGTTGGCGAATTCGCCCATCTGGTTTTGTTCACGGCTGGTCTGGAAGGCTATGCAAGGCCTCTTGTTGACAAGATAGACATTGAGAATCGTTTCTGCCTAAGACTTTACAGACCTTCAACTGTCAGCACGTAAGGTTCCATCATTTCTGACTGACTGACTGACTGGCTTACATTGTCTGTTGTTCGTCTAAAATGCTGATAGAATGTCCGGCCTTACAACTGCAGGGAGCACAAAGAACACGTAAAGGATCTGTTATGTGTATCGAAGAACCTGCGTCGAGTTGTGATTGTGGACAACAATCCGTTTAGTTTCCTGCTCCAGCCATTGAATGGGATCCCGTGCGTTCCTTTCTCTGCAGGACAGCCTTACGATCATCAGGTGAGTGGCCTTTTGCGTTGCACAGAACTGAGTGCTACAGAATACAAGAGAGGCTGAGTGAGTTTTCCTTTTGATGTGGTGTAGCTTCTGGAAGTGGTGCTCCCCATGCTGAGGCAACTGTCGTATCAGAAGGACGTTAGACCATCGCTTTACCAGAGGTTTCACATGCCAGAGTGGTTCCAAATGCATGGGATTCCTACTGCGTTGACGTGAGATCGCCAGACAAGCTACTTTTTGTTCGGAGTCCATGATTCTTTTACCAGCGGGATTAGGGTTGGCATTTATTTATGAGTTGTGGTACACCCTTCCACGATGTTTTTCTAATGGTGAATCTGTGAATGAATGTTGGCTAGACTGCTAAACTGGCCTTGAGGGGTTAAAGATGTTATAGCAAGGTTGTAAGAGGGGCCAGTAGGGGGTTACAAGGGTTTGGGGCGACTTCCGTTCCTTTTCATGGTTCCGTTCAGTGCAGCGGCCACTTTCTGGGGAGCAATTCTTGGCCACTGTCGAATTCCCACAGCACTTTGTAGAAGCAAACCAACAGATATCAATTTTTATCAAGCTTATTGCATCTTCAAAATTAGTTCGAAACTGAGCCCGTACATGAGCCAATCACGACGAAATCCATCAATCGAAAGGAAGAAAATTTTGAATACATCACTGCCACAGTGCCACTCTCTAGCTTGGGGGCCAAAATTAGCCTATCTACATTCTTCTCACTGGAAAACCCACCTTAGTTTATGGGACATGTCCAGAGTGCTTCAGACTTCCAAAAGGGTTCCTGCTCGTATAGGTTCAATACTGGAGGAAGTTGTTTAGTCTTCCCAGTTGGATTCATTTGAAGTACAAGATGGACCTACACCACAAGGAAAATACAGGATATCAGAAACAGCATGTGAACAGAATAACTGATATAGCTTACAACCGATATTATTATTAGCTTACTGGCTTACTTACAGTGAACAGTTAGGATTATCATCTATTAAACACCAAAGTTTGGCAATCCCCACAAAAGTTCACAACTAGATAACCATGTATTAAACACCAATTAATTGTATCCCGCAATGCCAATAATTTCATCAAGAAGGGGTCCGTAGTACCTGCATAGTGCTTACCGAAAGCAAATAGTAGTATCCCACTTTCAGAAAATCCAGCAACAATAATACCCGCCACTGCTGCCCGTCCGCCACGCCCCATCCCCGATCGATGCTGGCCACCTCTATGAAGTATTATTGGTGTTGGAGCGGCCCCCCATTCATCATCTGATTGAGCATGGTATTGGCGCATCAAAGCCCTCCCTCAATATTGGATTAATTTGTGAACCGCCCAATAGTGGGATTTCCAAAGCTGCCACAAAAGAAAACAAGCAAAAAACAGATCCTTCCAGCACTCGACATGGTCAACGGTTGATAACCAAACCCGTAGTAATCCAATATCAATCAATTTCCATAACTCGCGCGCTATTCTATAGTGAATGTGAAAGATTTAACCTAGCTACAAGAATGCTAGGGTTTGTGAAGGAAAACGAGAGTAGCCTTGTGGGAAATCGGCGGAATGCCTCTTCCTCTGTTACATTTCATATATATATGAGTGAACACTGTACATTATCGGTAAAGAGAAACAATTACTTAAACTAGTTAATGAGAAGATGCCAAGTGGCTAAGCTACATTTAAACTCTCTATTAATTACAATCTACCAATTTTGCGTCGTTGTGGCTTTGTGGAGTGTTTACCACTTAAGGTAAACGATGCAGTTCTGAGGTCACCTAGCTGTGTACTAAGCAGAGTGAAAGGAAGCCCTGCTTAGTTCATCCGTTCTTCATTCTGCAGCACCCCTAAAGACCTACAACAGCTGGTGATCAGGTAAACCTCATTCACACCCTCCCTCAAGCTTGTAGGCATATGTCATGTCATGCACTGCTAGCTTGGACAGAAGATACTGAAATCTGTCAACAGAGAGGCCCTTAGTGAACAAGTCTGCTAGTTGTTCTTCTGTTCGAATGTGATGTAGAGAAAGAAGTCTTGAAATCAGTCTCTCATGAGTCATGAACGACATGGCAATCAACTTCTATATGTTTTGTTCGTTCATGAAAAACTAGGTTTTCTGCTATATGTATAGCAGATTGGTTGTCACAAAACACCTTGACTGGTTGTTGATGTTCAATCCCATAGAACTTCAATAGTGACTTCAGCCATTGAACTTCACATGAGAGTTGAGCTAAAGCTCTATATTCTGCCTCTGAAGAGGACCTTGAAATAGTTTTCTGCTTTTTGCTTTTTCATGTAACTAATGAATTTCCCATAAAAGTGCAGTATCCAGTAACTGACTTCCTTGTATCAAGGCAAGTAGCCCAATCAGAATCACAATAACTTCTCAATTCTAGTGTAGATGAAGATGGGAACCATAAACCCTGACTTGGACATCCCTTCAAATACCTTAAAATCATGTGTAAAGCCTTCATGTGAGTAGTTGTGGGTTTGTCCTGAAACTGACAGAGTTGCTGAACTGGAAATGTGATGTTTGGTCTTGTTGAGGTCAGTTATTGGAGCTGTCCTAGCAGATGCCTGTAGTGAGAACCATCTATTATCTAATTGAACTCCATCTGCTGTTGAATGAACAGTCTTCATACTTAAGGGTGTTTTTGCATGTTTACTTTCCAGAAAATCAGAATTTGCTAATAGTTCTAAACAGAACTTTATCTGATTCAAAGAAATCCCTTCACTTGATCTGACAACTTCCCGTCCCAGGAAATATCTCATGTTTCCTAGATCCTTCACTTTAAATCCCTTCTTCAATTCTTGCTTCACATGCTCAATCTCACCCAAAACTGGACCTGCCAACAGTATGTCATCTATATACACTATCAGGGTAACTGAAAGCATTTTGAAAACTGAGTAATCATCAAGGGATTGCTCAAATCCCATGTGCTTCAAATACTTAGACAGCTTGATGAACCACTGTCCGCTGGCTTGTTTAAGTCCATAAAATGACTTATTGAGCTTCAGAACTTATCCTTCCAGGTGACTTAGACCCTTCAAACCATTTGGTACCTCCATATAAACCTCCTCCTCTAAGTCACCATGGAGGAAGGCATTGCTTACATCCATCTGATGTAAGCGCCATCCTTTGATGGCAGCAACAACCAAAACCAGTTTGACTAAATTCAGTTTAGCAACAGGAGAAAAAGTGTGAATAAAATAACATAAGTTTACATATACCCTTTTGCTACTAATTGAGCCTTACTTCTCTCTATTACTCCATCAGGCAAAAACTTGGTTTTAAACACTCATTTGTTCCCTACAATCTTCTGACCAACAGGTGGATCAACAGGAGTCCAGGTGTTATTTTCTTCTAAGGCACCCAACTCCTCTGTAATAGCTTTATTCCAACGATCTTCCTTAATGGCCTGAGAGTAGGTTTGAGGATCAGGTTGAAGTGAGATAGAAAGGGTGAAATGTTTGTGGTTAGAAGATAAGGTGTTGTAATTGAGAGAATGGGAAAGAGGGTAGGTTATTCTTGCATCATGAGAGCCAGGAGTGCCATTAGTGAGAAGGATTTTTGAAAGTCTTGTAGATAAGTAGGCTTTCTAGAAAGCCTAGGAGCTCTCCTAAGGGCAATAGGTAAAGAGTCCTGACTTGTAGAAGTGGAAAGAGAAGAGGAAGAAGTGGATGGAATAGAAAAAGAAGGTGTAAATGGTGAAACATGAGTCTGAGCCACACGTGTGGATGAAGGAGATGAAGGAGGAGTGGAATCTGTGTCTGCAAAAGGATCGTATGGATATGTAGTTTCATGGTAATTATGATCAAGAGGAAGAATTGGGGAAACAGGCAGAGAAGTGGAAGAAGAAGGAGAAGAAGAATCCCTACTCTCAGGAATCATAAATGGAAAAGAATCTTCAACAAATTCCACATCTCTACTGACAAAGGTAGTGTGAGTCTCAAGATCATATAACTTGAAACCTTTGATTTCAAAAGGATATCCTACAAACACAGCGTTTTTGGCTCTTTTTGCAAACTTCTTCTTATGTTCATCCAGAACAGTAGCATAGGCAAGACAACTAAAGGTTCTTAAAGAACTATAGTCAGGTGGTATCCATATAAGCATTCAAATGGTGTTTTATTTCCTAAGATAGGTGTAGGAGTTCTGTTGATTAGATATGCAGAATGCATGACCAGGTAGCTCCACAAACTAGTAGGGAGTCCAGATTGGAACTTGAGTGCACTAGCAACATTCAAAATGTGTTGGTGCTTGCGTTCTACCCTGCCATTTTGTTGTGCAGTCTTAACACAACTCATCTCATGCCAAATGCCATGTTCATGATAGAAATCTGGCATGTTAAACTCCTGCCCCCTGATCAGACCTTATCACCTTCACAGATTTGTCAAACTAAGTTTTTACCATGCTAAAAAAGGATTGAACTAAACCTCGTGCTTCAAATTCAAAGCTTATTAAAAACAGCCAAACACATCTACTATGATCATCAACCACAGTGATAAAATATTTGAAACCATCACAGAAAACTACATCAAATGGCCCCCAAATGTCAACATGAATTAGGTCAAATGGTTCCTTTGCAGTAGTAATACTCCTATTAAAAGGTAATCTTTTCTGTTTAGCTAAGTGACATATCTTACAATCACTCAATTCTGTAGCTATAACATCACTACATTGTTTGGTAATTTCCTGCAGTCTTGGAAAGGAAAGGTGTCACAGCCTGGCATGCCACAACTTTGAGCTATCACTGATGGTCACTCCAAGAAAATATGGTTTGAGATTCTCCCCAGGTGCAACTGACTCCCCAAGAAAGTAAAGTCCTCTACTTACGTGGATTAAACCAATCCTCTATCAAGAGATTAGGTCCTGGATAAAACAAAAGTTGGATTCAAATGGGGCTATTACTGGTTAACTGGGACTAGAAGAACATTGGTAAGAAATAAGTCCCAAGGTAATTTGACTATGCCAATATGAGTAACCTTTGCTTGTTGGGCATTAGGAAGGGTAACTGACATATCCTTAACTTCTCTATATCTAAGGAAAAAATGCATAGAACACACAATGTGGTCACTAGCACCAGTATCAAGCACCCATACATCTTTACTCTTGGAAGCTGTATAGGTGGAAAGAATAGTAATACCTGACATGGTGTGCCCCTTAGATGTAATAGAGTTAACCATCGAAGAAGATGATTGCTGCTGAGGACTTTGGAGTAAAGCATTCAGGCGATAGAGTTCTTCTGTGGTGAAACCAGAGAAGTGTTGAGGACTATCTGGATTACTCC